AATTCCAAGTAAAAGGGTTGCTAAATCTAATTATCTATTGATATGTCAGTTGACTAGGTAGAAGTGAAACCTTCAGGTATTCAGTAATAGAACATTCCAAATATGTATAAGACTAACGCTTTATTTCAAAATTCAATGCATTTTATATTCCTTTCTTTCTTTCCATCAAGTTTCTTAGTTTGAATCAGGTATATAACTTATTTCTAAAATCAAAGTATTTCAAATTACATGATGCGTTCAAAACTGGGCTGAGGAGTAGATTTCATTTGCACAGTAAATTGAGAGTAAATCTCATTAACAACTTCTGATTAATCTGACTTTCAATTTGCATATATATATATATATATAAATAAATAAATAAATAAATAAATCAGTTACTTCTAAATCAGCATTATATATCTGGTCAGCTATGCATTCCTTTGTCAACTTTGGAAAGAACTTTGGCTGTGGGGGTAACAAACACTTCCTTTTACCTTGTTGGAATTAATTTTACAAATGTTCTTCCAGGGGTAGCTATATCATATTTCATGGGATTGACCTGGAATAATTTCAGAATTTATTTAGGTTAACCTATCTGATTTACTTATGCCACAGTGTTTTAGGTTAATACATTAAAATTAGGTTTTGTAAACGCTGTTTCCAAGATTGTTTTTCTCTTTGAACTCAAGGATAGGAATCCCGTTACCATAACTTTTTGTTAACATTGCATAATTTTGGTATAGATATAAATTGTAGAACTGTTTCAGTTTCTTGGCTTTTATGAGTTTTTCTTTTTTTTAATCTATCAGATATTAAAGGGAGACTCGAATGCAATGTAAAATCTTTGCTGCTTTTAATACCAAGCAAACTCTCATATATATTGGATGTTAATTAGGAATTTGCATCTATGGAGTAAATTAGTCTTTTGAGATACTTAAATCAGACTAGCATGGGTTAAAGTACTTAGTAAGAGTTTGTTCTTACCACTTTTGTAATCAATTTAAGGTTCTGATAAAACCTGTAATATAGCTTGCCTCAATTTCAAATTTTATTGTATATTTAAATATTTAAAATAATCGCTACTTAATTATACTTGTGACTCGTCTGCAAAAACAGCGGTTTCAGTTGAGTTTTATATAATTTTTTTTACAGTTTTCACTATACAAATAAGCAGAAAAATTCAGACAAGCATAACTAATTTTATTGTCATATATTTATTTGTTTTTGTCTTTTGTTATGATATGGCAACAAGTCTGACATTTGTCATGATAAATCTGACTGTGTATTCAAATTTACATCCCCAGTTGGGGCCTGTTTGGAACACTACAATTTCAGGTCTTCCTTGATACCTATGTTAGCATATTCAGTACTGCTATCCATTACTGTGGTATCAGTGCCTTTTGCATAAAAAACAGTAATGAAGCCCATAGTAGACCTCAGTCTCTCTTCTCTGAAAATAAATAGGATTTTTTTTTTAAATGTGCTTGAACATACTCGTGTTTGTTTAGTAAATATTCTAGCTTTTCAAGGTCTTGTCTGCAGTAAGGATTTTCTTTTTGATTGAAGTAGGGTGTGAATTTAAAGGTGAATTAATATTCCTTACTAATTTCTCATATGGATGCATTATGCCAAATACTGTCAACATAGGAGAGTCTAAATAACAAAGATGTTCAGAAGAGTACTTTGTATTAGATAAGGCCTCGGGTATTACAGGGGTTTAATAGAATCTGTTTTAAGTTTGCCCCCGAAAAGAACTAGTTGTATTGTTTCTGAGTATCTAGTATGCCTATACATTGAACTAAACAGTTTTGGTAAAATAATACCAAAAATGGAAAGTACTCTTCATGAGTACAGAAACATGATACGTTTACCCTAGAGTAAAGTAAATTACTTCAGTCTAAATTGAACCAGACCCATGACTTACATCTGTGTAAGGTTATAAGTCACTCCACTTCAGGATAAAGTTGCTCCTCAAAAAGTGAGTAACTCTACACCAGCATAAGTTATACCAGTCCAAGGGTTGTCTGTCTCTACTGTCCCAGGCAGTTTCATCCCATGGTGCTCTTTTCGTAATGCTGACTGGCTCCCCTGACATCTGGTAGTCAGGTGCTGTAATATATCTATGACGGCCAACTGATGTGACTAGGTAGTATCATTTTGTTATTCAGCCATTTCAAAATAGGGCACAGCATTAAAGGCTGGATCCAGAAAAGGACTCATGCATTCAAGGCCAAACATCTCCATTCAGATACTGCCCACCCTTGGAGTCACCTAGACTCCATAGGCATGTCTAATGTTCCTCACCTGGGTGCACATCCAGAGCTGCCCCAGTTATGACGGAGCTAAGCAGTACAGTATGCATGTCATGCCAAAAAACAGGTCATCCTCTTCCTGAATCTCCTGAGGGACTGAATATGGTGGGTGTACTCTGAGAGTGCTCAACACACACAGCTGCTGAATGGGTAAGGCCTAAGTTCCAGTCCCTGTTTTCAGGACTATGCATATATTTTAAATTAAATAGTCATTGGATAAAATATATAAACAGGTGAGGGAGTAGGAACTGAAACCTTGGGCTCCCCTTTCCCAGCTGAGTGCCCTAACCACCAGGCAACAGTTACTCCTTTAGACTGATGAACCTTGCATCGTGATGCAGCTTCAGTAGAAGAGGTGAAAGTGTGCCTTCTTGTGATTCAGAAGGGTTTATAACACGGTGGTTAGGGCACTCCTGGGATAGGAGCTTGAATCTTTGCAGATTAAGGAAGGGATTGAATGCCAGTTTTTCACTTCTCTGGGTGCAAGTACTCTAATTGCTGCACACTTTTGAAAAGGATTCTTGACTGTGTTAACATATATACTGAGCCCTTTATGTTTCTTCAAAAGTGACAGCAATAGACACTTTTTTGTAGGAGAGCGCTCTGGATTCCTATCTGTAGATGTATAAGCCTCTTATTTATTCTTGTCTTTCCATAAAGCTGTTGATGGTAAGGTTTTTACTTTAAAAGTTTGGTAAAGAATTTGACCAGGACTAGTTATTTCAGAACACTATAGAAAACACACAAACTTCCAAAAAGGTTGTCAAGCTGTGTGCTGTACTGCCTACAAAAGTTGGTGAGATACTAAAGCATGGGAATTCGGGAGTGGGGAGGCAGGGTATACTCTCAAATCATTAAAGAATTAAGCTTTTAGAGAGATTGGGAGAAATAATTGATTTGTGCTGTTTCTGTTTAACAGAATGTCCAAAACAGGTTAGTAATTAGTTGTGCTACTTGGTATTCTGTATTTTGAAGGACAGCTGAAATATGAGGATGGAGATGGACCTTTCTCTGTGGCTGCAGGGAACAGGACTAGGATAAATGGATTCAAACTGAAGCAGGGGAAATTTAGGCTTGATATTTGGAGAAACCTTCCGACTCTGAGAGTGGTCAGGCATTGGAACAGGCTATCTGGAGAAATTGTGGAATCTCCATCCTTAGAAATTTTCAGAAGCGGATTAGACGGACACTTTGCTGAGATGGTTTATTTGGAGATGATCCTGCTTCTAGCAAGGGGCTGGACTAGATGACCTCATGAGGTCCCTTCCAGCCCTAGTTTCCTATGATTCCCATGTTTTAAGATTTTGTTTTTATATAAAGCACTACTTGAGTGCTACAAGAATATTTATGTAAATGAAATGACAAAAATAATGTATTTAAGTTGCTTATAAAATAGAAATTTGTGAAACAGCCTTATGTCCTATGACTTTTTTTTTAATTGTCATTATGGAATTCCTTTAAAAATATCTTACCAAGAGTAGCTTTTAAAGATAGTATTTATAATGTCTGGCTGTAGGCAAAACACATTGAAAATAAGCCTGAACCTGCAAATGTTTTAAGCAGAGATGCAGTTTAAAATCTTATTAAATTTAAAGTCTATCCCATTGTGGTGAATAAATAAAGCAAACTTGTGACATCGTAAAACTTGTGGAGTGTGGCATCAGGTCTACAGATTTTATTTACCAAAAAAATGCATCAGCATCAAATTTAGGGGATTAAGCACTGGTAATTTTGTTTTAGAGTGAAAAGTTGTTTGGCGTTTTGGGACATTGAGTTTGTCTCTGTGTGAACACACTGGAATTTTCACAAATAGGAAAATAGTGATGTTAATAAGGTTTTTTTAGGGGTATACATGCGATAACTTTTAAATGTACAGTCCACTTGACTTCATACTGGAAACACTGATGGAAGATAGACTGAAGTACTGCAGCTTTTGACTTGTGGAAGTTCAGTATATAGGAAGGGCTGCTGATTTGCTGTGTTTTATTTGTGTATGGCAGTATTAAAGCAAAAATGGTGCTGAGGTCTTAAATTTGTCTGCATAAATAATCCTGTCTTGAGGCAGAGGAACTAGATGACTTTGAAGTATCTTTCTGCTGTGTTTTTCTAGGATTGAGTTTGAAATGTTAGTACATTTTTCTTCTATGAATAATCTGAAATTTTGCAACAACAAAAAAATTTGAGCCAAAAACCTCCACTTCAGCAAGTTAAGACTGTTGCATGAAATGAAAGGCCCTTCTTTGCTGGATACTATGGTGGCAAACAACATGGGTACCCCTGTCTCCTACAGACGATAAATGTCCAGTGCAGAGACCTGTAGCTGCTGTTATGAGGTTATTAAGGGGCATTAGAAGTGGGTACAAATTAAATTTCTTTCCAAGACCTAACCCATGGTCTTGTTATGCATTGTATTCCTTATCTCCTCCCTTTTCCTGTCCTTGCCACTAACATTGCTCTCACTGCTCCTTTTGCTTCTTTTTCTCTCATGTATGGAAGCAGTTTCTGTTCCTTCCTGCTGGTGAGCAGGAACAGAAATTGTTCTGGGAATGAAGACTGTAATACACAAGATTTGGAAGGGTTTATATTTTAGATACTAAAATCATACAAAGCTGAGTTGACTTATTTTGCTTGAACCACAAGTTTTGGGTCTCTAGTTATTTATATTGGAATACATATTACAATTTCATAAGAATGTTTATATATTTTTAATTTAAGGTGCGCATAGCGGCAAAATTCATCATTCATGCTCCTCCTGGGGAATTTAATGAGGTGTTCAATGGTGAGTAATTTTATGCTTCTCCTTTGTGCTAGCTTCAATTGTCAATGAATTATAGCTCTTTTGTACGATTAAGTTATTGGATATGATGTCTGCATTGCTTTTCTTTCCCTGGTATTTAAGTAACTTTTTTGTTACAAAAGTGTTATGAAATACTTACTTTTCATAGTTTGGTTTTATTTGTCTCAAAATAATCTTAAACACCCAAGTTTTGCCGCCTCTACTTGGTACAAAGACGTAAAGCTGCCATTTTCCTAAGTTTGAGGAGGAGAGTTTGCTTTGCCAATGTTGTATAATATTGACAACAATTTAGTGTTTGATATAAAGCTGTGGTTCTCAACCTCGTTTAGACTCAAGGCACACCTCATTCAGCTTAAGGCACCCCTCAGAAAATGTCAGCTCTTAGTTTTCACTTATTCTTTGACTGGAGCCGTTTTTCTGATGTAAAAACTCAAAAACCACAACAGTTCAGGGTGTTTAACATTGTCAGCTCCTATTTCAAATTTCTGGGTTTATCTTGTGGATCATGTTTACACATCTAACAGTGCTAACATTGTGTGGTACTCTGTGGCACCCTTGAAAAGATGTCAAGGCACCCTAGGATGCTTTAGCACCCTGGTCAAGAATCACTAATATTAAGGTATGGTTAATACCTCCTTTTGTTTCAATATTTAGCTAATCTCTTTGCTGTTTAGGCCTTGTTATTTAATTTGCATAGGGAACTGTCCTGGATGTGCTATTCTTCAGTACAGCAAAAGCTTTGTTATCCGGCACCCATGGGGAATCAGGGGTGCCAAATAACAAAATACGCCGGTTATCTGAGAGGCCTCTCCTGCTGCGTCCAGTGCACCACCACCCCTCCCACTGCGAGGGACAGGGAGGGGGGGGCAGAAGAGAAGTGGGGAAAGAACTGTTATTGTGGGGGCTTGGCAATACAGTCTGCTTTGCCCTGGGCCGTGAGGGCTCAGCGAAACTGGAAGTGCCATGGTGGGGCACTTATGGTTTTGCTTTCACCTTACAAGCTAGCATGCCAGTTAATAGAGCATGCTGGCTTGTAAAGTGCTGGATAACGTGACTTCTACTGTATATTCTTTAATGACTTGGAAGATTGAATTGAGTATGTGTTTAAGTAAATTTGAGGGTTAGGAGTCAAAATTATCTTGATAATTGAGATAAAATGTAATAGGCACAAGAGCAAAGTACTTAAGACTGAACAATATAATGTACAGATACAAAATGTAGGAGAGCTAGGAGGCTGCTGGAGTGCAGAAAAGGACCTGGGGATTATGGTGAACTACAAGCCAAATATGAGTTAAAAGTTAAGCTTTGTCATAAGCAAGCTAATAATACGCTAGGATACATGAATAGGAGTCTCGCTTTCAAATCAAAGGAAGCAATTCTTCAAGTCTTTTTAGTTTTGGTGATGCCTTGCTGCAGTACCATATTCAACTTTGGGCATTGTATTTTGAGAAAGTTGTGTAGAAATTGGGAAGAGTCTAACTGAGTAACAAAATGATTATACTTTTAGGAAAATTTTATAAGAGAAGTTGGAAGCACTGGGATTATTATTGAGGGGAGGAATTTGATAGGTAGCTATAAAGAGGATGGCAATCATCCTTTCTCAGTATCCACAAGGGACAGGATAATAAATAATTAGGGGTGCATAAATAGAGAATGTTTGGGCTGATACCAGCGGATGATTTTTGATGCGCCGTATCGGTCGATACTGATCTGATTCCGATATACAGCTGGACAGCATGGAGAGAGGCATCAGGCTGGTAAGTCTGTTGTGGAGGGAGGGAAGAGGCATGGGGGGACAGATTGAGGCCCTCTCTACGAGGGAGGGAGTAGGGCTGGAGCTGGGACTGAGGCAGGTGCTGTGATGCTGCACATCTGGGGCAGAGCATGGGAGGGAGCTGTGAGCATTCATCTGGGGGTGGGAGTGGGGGCAGGGTGACTCCTGCCACTGCATGCATCACCCCAGGAGGGCCTGGGGGACATGTGTTCCCGGATCCGTGCAAGGCAAGGGCGGGCTGCCACTGTGGGCTGGGAACAGGGTGGTGGTGAGCTGTTCCTGGTAGGGGGCTGCGCTTGGGGCAGGCAGCGGCAGGACCGGGGCGGGGGAGGAAGGTGTAGCAACCACCCCAAAATTCACCATAGCCCCCCTCCCAGCATTGCTGCTGCCCGCCCTAAGTGCAGTGCAGCCCAGCCCCCCTGCCAGGAATTGCTCAGCACTGCCCACAGCAACAGCGCATCCTCATCCCGCATGCAGATCTGGAGACAAATGCTCCATGCCCTCCCATGGTGTGCAGAGTAGCAGGAGCCACAACCCCTGGATGAGCCACTCACAGCTCAGTCCCCCTCTCTGCCCTGGCTGTGCAGCCCCAGCCCCTGCCCCACTCCCTGCCTCACTGCTGGGGCCTTGTTTCTCCACCCTCCACCCCCTATGCCCCTTCCCTCACCACAGGCTTACCAGCTGGACCCTGGCTGCTCTCCATACTGATGGGCTGCATTCCTGGCTGTCTGTGTGCTGCGCTGCAGCTGTGTGCATTCACAGGGCATTTATTGGTGGCATTATTGCCTACATCAGCCAAAAAACGCTGATTGCCAATACAGTCAATTTTCCTTATACTAGTGCCAATCCAATACGGGACTGATGTGTTGGTGCACCTCTAGAAATAATGGGTTGAAATTGCAAGGGAGTTAGGTTGGATATTAGAAAGAATTTTCTAATTATTAGGGTAGTTATCTACTGGAACAGGCTGCCTAGGGAGATCGTGGAATTTCCCACACTGGAAGTTCTTAAGTGCAGGGTACACAAACACTCGGCTGGGTAGCTTAGACAGGGATGTTTCCTGTGTTAAGCAGAGAGTTGGAATACATGATCTGAATTCCCTGCCAGTTTTGTGATTCTGTATCAGATATGTTAACTATTTCAGCAACAGCTCTTCAGAGTTTCATTTACAGAATCAGATTTAACTTTGTGCAGAAGAGGGTGTAGGGGAGTTGTTTTTTTTTGTGGGGGGTAAGGTTTGGAGAGGGGAGATAACTATCATTCTGACTTATAAATTGACTCTAAAATTAAAAGCTTTGGTTAGAGTCACAAAAGTTTCTTAAACAAAACCCAATACACTTCTTTAAATATGATGCAGATTTTTTTTGTAGAAAAATCCTGTTTCCTGTTCAAGGCATCAGTTTTCAGTAATTTCAGTGGCTTCTCCCTTCACATAAGTTCTGTGAAATCTTTGGGTTCAAGAACTAAAAATATAACATTACAATTACTGTGATAACAATATTTTTATGTTCTTTGAAATTAAAAACTAAATTTGAATGATTTATATGGTAGTATATCAGGTTGTTTATGTGTATGTATTTTTTTTAAACCTAAGCTCATAAAATGCACTGTGTTGAATCAGTGTTATGATTGATTCTGCATGTAGGATTTTCATTGTATGTGAGGGTGAGTTTTATTTGTCAGAATAGTCTGATACTGCTTTAAAATCATTCTAGAGAAAATGTATTAGAATAAAGGACTGTGTTATGTAGTTAAAATGCAATAATTTCTGGCCAGTAATAAAAATGGTATCTAGCAGTATATATTCAGTTAGTAATATCCATTAGGAGACTGGAATGATAATGGTAGGACAGGGGAAGAAGAAAAAGAAACAGTCTACAGTCTAGGCAACATTAAAATTAGCAAAGGCCTGCACTAACAACCTCTAACAAATCCTGGTCCCACAAATGATGGGACTTTTTTTTAAATCTTTGAATACTTACTTGTCTTACTAATGAATGGAGCCAACTAACTCTGGTGCTTCTCTAATGACAAATTTGGCCCTTTCCTACAAGGCCCATCGTGCCACTTCTATGGCATGACTTTTATCTATTTACAAAGTTGCTGTGAGGGCAGTTCATTTCAATCCAATCTCCTCACATCTGGCAGTCATGATAGTGAAATGTATAAACAGCTTTGTTACCTATTTTTCTCAAGTAATCAATTCTGTTTATTAGATACATTCCTGGAGAATGTTTTTTCATTTGCTGTCTGGGCTAAAAAAAATGAGTTTTCTTCTAACATCTTGAGGAGAGAATTAAGATTTTAAATTATTTTTTTCAGATGTTCGATTACTGCTTAACAATGATAATCTTCTCAGGGAAGGAGCAGCCCAGTAAGTACTATATACTATCCTCTAGTTTCTGAGAGACTGAAAATGTTACACTTCATTAAAGTATTCACTACCAGCAAACAATCATGGTGAACGGATCTGTCACTTTCTGCACCCATAGCTGTTTTAAACTTATTAGAACTGATAAAGTAATGTCAGCTTTGATTATACTTGAATGGGAAAAGTCCAAGGAAAACAAAATTATAGAAGTGGTATAGATGAATGGGAGGTGCTCCCAGGATCAACCTTTTGAATAACAGCCTTATGGAAATACTATGCTTATTAAAACAATACCCCCACACTATATTTGGTGAGATTCATAGAAGTAGGGTCGAAAGGGACCCTGTAGATCATCAAGTCTGACCCCCTGCCCTGGGCAGGAGAGAAAACTGGGCTCAAATGACCCCAGCCAGGTAGACATTAAGCCTCCTCTTAAAGACCCCCAGGGTAGGAGCCATCACCACTTCCCTTGGAAGTTGGTTCCAGATCCTAGCCGCCCTGACTGTGAAGTAGTGCCTTCAGATGTCTAGTCTAAACCTACTCTCTAACAAGTTGTGGCCGTTATTCCTTGTTACCCCCCCCCTCAGCCTTCTCTTGCAAAGGCTGAACAGGTTACGGTCCCATAGCCTCTCTTCGTAGGGTCTGCCCTGCTGTCCCCAGATCGTGCGGGTGGCCCTCCTTTGGACCTTCTCAATGCTGTCCACATCCCTCCTGAAGTGCGGCACCCAGAACTGAACACAGTACTCCAGCTGTGGCCTGACCAGTGTCGCATAGAGAGGGAGGATCACCTCCTTGGCCCTACTTGAGATGCATCTGTGGATGCACAACAAGGTACAGTTAGCCCTACTGACCGTGACCTTGCATTGTCGGCCTGTGCTCATCTTGGAGTCAGTAATGGCTCCAATCTCTTTCTGCCACCATGCTCTCAAGAAGGGAGTTTCCCAGCTTATAAGTGTGCTGCTGGTTCCCACTGCCCAAGTGCAGCACCCTGCACTTGTCAGTATTGAAACCCATCCTATTTTTGTTAGCCCACCTTGGTAACCTGTCCAGGTCCTGGTGTAATCTGTCCTTCCCTATTAGCGTGCCCACCTCACCCCAAATCTTGGAATCATCAGCAAATTTAAACAGGCTGCTTTTTACCTACCCCATTGTCCAAGTCACTAATAAAGAAATTGAACAGTGTGGGCCCAAGGACCGAGCCCTGGGGGACTCCACTGCCCACTTCCCTCCCGGTTGAAAACGACCCGTCCACCACTACCCTCTGAGTACGACCCTTCAGCCAATTTGCAATCCGACTGGATTGGTGCCACAATCACCTAGTTTGATGAGAATGGGTGGGAGACAGTGTCAAAGGCCTTGCTGAAGTCCAGAAAAACTACATCCACCACAGCACCCGCGTCCAGTGCTTTTGTGACCTGATTGTAGAAGACAATCGGGTTGGTCTGACAGGACCTGCCCCTAATGAAACCGTGCTGGTTGCCCTTGAGCATCATCCCTGCTGCTGGCCCATCACAGATGTGCTCCTTGATGATCTTCACAAAGAGTTTCCCCAGGATTGAAGTAAGACTCATGGGCCTATAGTTGCCCGGGTCCTCCCTCTTCCTTTTTTTGAAGATGGGGACCACATTGGCTTTCTTCTAGTCATCTGGCACCTGGCCAGAGCACCACGAGTGCTCGTAAAGCTGTTCCAGGGGCCCCGCAATAACCCCTTGCAATTTGCTCAACACCCTGGGGTGGAGAGCATCTGGACCTGCTGATTTGAACACGTCCAGCCCCTCCAGAAGCTCTCTAACCTGGTCCTCCCTGACCTTAGGCCTGGTGGCATTTCTTCTGAGTCTATCTGGAATCCTGGTGGTGAGTCCTGGTCCTTACACAGGAAAATAGAGGCAAAGAATTTGTTAAAGAGGTCTGCTTTCTCCTCTGGTGCAACCACCAGATTGCCAAGCATATCCTGCAGGAGCCTCACATTACCTGGTGCCTTCTTTATTCTCCCTATATATTTAAAAAATGACTTTTTATTATCTTTGATGCTTGAATTGGGAGAATGTGAGGGAATAAGAGGTTCTGTCTCTTTGTAATTGCTAAAGATTCCAGAGTGCTTTTCTACAGGAGCAAGGGTGCTAAGGCTAGTATCCTGCCTAAATGTATTTGGGTAACTAGCATTATATATACCTACTATCTAGTGTAATTTGGAAGTGTTCATCACTTCTACATACAAACTGTTGTATAGTGTTGTGATATAGGCTAAGTTGTCACTAGAAGATGCACTTTTAATTCGGTATTTTCGGGATCCTTAGATGACAGATACCAGAAAATGTAAGTCTACCCATTTAAGTATACAAAAGGCACATCTGCGTAGGGTCACATGGCTCAGTAGTGTCCACATGTGACCAGCAGATACTTCGCCATAGCAACACGCTCCCTCAGTATAGCATGCCACTATGGCAAAGTAGCTGCCAAAAATAACCTTATGCTGCACATACAACACAGAAGGAAGTACTGTATCACAGTGCAGTAACGATGTTGCCATAGTGACACGTAGACAGGCCGAAGAGTAGAATGGAGGGAAAATAAGACTTATTTAATTAGTCCATCCAGAAGACCACATCTAGTAATCTTAAATTTATCACAGGTAGCTCTGAAATAAGGGTTTCAGTTATGTTTTTGAAAACAGCTACAGTATATCCATTCAAGACTTTTTGAAGGGTGAATACCCTGCAAAGGTCTGTGTGTATAGCAACACTCTTATAATAAAAGATGCTTTAAAAAATCCAACTGAGAGAACAAACATATATACTCTCTTGTTTGGAACCAATAGACCTCTTGAAGCCTGCACACATGCCCTTTTGGTATATCTTGGATGTTTCAGTGTGCTTAATGTGATTTTTATTGAGCCTTTTCCATGAAATTGGATACATTAAGATCCTTTATGATTAAATAGCAAAACCAGGAGGTTAGTAACTTTTTATAATATTCCATTGAAAAGTCAGTCTGACAAATTATTGCTCATAATATTTGAAAGTAAAAATGTTTGTGCAAATAACTTCATAAAAGTTGTTGTGCACTTCTAGAAGTAAGCAGAAATGTGCATAAAATGCACCCTGTTTAAGTCCCCTGTTTTATAATATGTTTTAAGAGAAGACTACAGGATAAAAAGGAAGTTTGAAATAAAAGTGTTTTGAGTGTGTAGCTCAGAGATGGAGCTACAGTTAAATGACCACAAGGGACATATTTTTGTCACAAGTTAGAAATCAAATGTGGAAGCAGCAGAAGTTTGTACTTCATGGTGTTTACCTTCATGTTGAATTATTTTAGAAATGGCGGTCATATCAGACAACAGGAAGCTTCCAGTCTCTTAAAAATATTTAATGATTTGCAAATGAAATCCCATGTGCATGTATGTATTTTGATCTTGTTAGATTTATTTATTTTTAGATGCTATTAAATGCTTTTGTCATTTGCGTCCTTAAGATAGTGTGGCTTAGAGACCTCAACTACTGTTTGATGTTCCTTGATTGCTAGCTTTGATGTGAGGAAAGAAATATTTTCTTTAGCTTTAATATCTAAACAAATATTCATAAATAATCACTGTTAAACTTTTGTAATGTTGAAAGGTTTATGGTAAAGTTAAGTAGATTGTTGATATACATATCTTTTGTCTTTTTAGTGCATTTGCACAATACAACCTGGACCAGTTTACTCCAGTAAAAATTGATGGTTACGATGAGCAGGTATGGATCAAATTTGTAGTTTAAGAGCATGCTCTTATCGGCTTCATAGAATCACAGAGAAATGGGGCTAGGAGGGGTCTCCAGAGGTCATCTAGTCCAGTGGTTCTCAACCTTTTGCACCTTGCGTCCTACCATGATAAAAACAAAACCCCACAAAATTGCACTGTTCAAGATATCTGTTGATTCATCTATTTGAAGAGCAAACAACTGATTTTTTTTCAATCAGGCAGTGAGTCGAAGTCCCACCTACATGACCTTCAAGTCCCACCAATGGGACATCCCACTGGTTGAGAAACACTGATCTAGTCCAACTCTCTGCCTGAGGCAGGATCGTCCTTATCCAGACTGTCTCATAGACTATAATCTAAACTCTGCATAAGACTACCATCAATCTTGACACCACATAGACTCTCATTGTCTTGCAGAAATAAGCATTGCTTTTATTATAATCTAACAAGCTATTTATGAGGTAAATAATATAAAATATTGTTGGGACACCATAGCTTGGATCCTGTAAGGTAAACAAGGGCATTGAATAACTTTTAGTTCTACTTTATATTAATATACTAGGCCAGTGCTGCCCAACTGGTGGCCTGCAGGATGCATGCATCCTGTTACAGGTCAAATTGCATCCCCCAGGCTCCCAACCAGTTATTGCTGTCCCTATTGCTCCAGCTGTGGCAGCACCCAGGGGCTCCAGGCTCTCCCTCCCTCTGACTTCCCCTTTCTCCCCTTGTCCCAGGGACAAGAACATCCTCTTCAGTGCCAGGGAAGCCAGTACAGTAGCCTGGGGTTCCTGAGTGGGCTGTGCAGTGGGGAAGTTTGCAACTGGAACCTAAAGATGAGTCAGGGCACTGGGGTAGATGGTGCAGTGGTGAGACTGGGGAGTAGTAGTGGGAGGTCATGCAGTGCAATGGGGATGCTGGGGAGCAGCAGCAAAAGGGTGCCTGGCACAGCAGGGAACATTGGCCCCAGTGGCATGCAGCCTCTGGCTAACTTAGTTATACAGTCTAGTCCTTGGCTAAATATTTGAAGTCTTCAAAAACAGTTTACGCTGGAACCACCAGTGCATTAATTCAAACAGCACTGAAATTCTGAATTTGTTACTCTTCTGTTTGGTGTGCATGGACTTGGTTCATACCTTGTTTCTAATTAGGATATTGATGGGGTCTCCCTTTGGTACAGCTCAGTCTGTTAATTGGGGTAGTTCTGTCCTGAATGATGTCACGTTGAACAGAAAAATGTTACAGCCAGAATTTTGTGATGCAGGTGTTGATAACAGAACATGGCGACTTGGGCAATGGTAAATTTTTGGATCCAAAAAACAAGGTCTCCTTTAAATTTGATCACTTAAGAAAAGAGGCTACTGATCCTAGGCCCCATGAAGCTGAAAATGCATTAGAATCCTGGAGAAATTCAATTGAGACTGCAGTGAGAGCCTATGTGAAAGAACACTACCCAAGTGGTGTCTGCACAGTAAGTACAAAACAGCTGTCTAAACATGCTTGTAAGTTCCATTTTTACATTCACTTTCAGATGGATAGTGATCTCTGAAATACAAAATAATAGCAACCAGCATATGTCCGCAACATAATTATAGATAGAGACTTGTGTTTCGTCAATGTCTGTGTTTCTTTCTGCACCACTTACAAACATGGGTGGAATGTTCAGACCCCTTCAGACCATGGGGGAATTGGAGTGAGGTGTGGCTGGACTCCCTGGGTCAGCAAGGGACATCAGGGAGCTGGGTAGAGGAGCAGGCACATGAAGGTGGGGGGAAGGTCAGCTGTCCTTAGCTGACCTGGGGATAGGGGAACCTCAGAAATGTTCCTGTCCCACGCTGAGGCCTGTGCTGGGGGCCAAGCTTGACCAGGGACAGCAGGGGTGGCAGGCCTGCCTACTGCCCCCTCCACCATCCTCCCCCACAGCAGCAGACACTGGAAGGAGAAAACTGTTCCTACCACTGTGGTCCCTGGCCAAGCTAGGCACCCCGTAAGCTGGAGCAGGGCAGGAGCAACTCTGGAGCTTCCCCCGTGCCTCTGCATCAGCTCAGGATGGTGGTGTGGGACAGGTTCCTCCTTCCAGTGCTTGCTTCCAGTCAGCAGGGAACACAGATGGCAGGGAGCAGGTACAGGGAGAGGAAATCTGCCCACTGCAGCCTCTCTCCCCTGCTAAGCCTGGATTCTTGTGCAGCTTCAGCCTGCATTTGGAACAGGGCAGGAGAAGTTCTGTGCCCCACCGCCACCCCATACCTGGGTCATTGGGGAGCAATGGTAGCAGGAGGAGGGGGTGCAACTGCACTGCTACATTCCCCTGGTATCCGTCCTTATCTACCAACACCCTTCTTTCCTTTGTTTCTGAAACTTCTAGGACAAGGGTCAGCAACCTACAGCCTTCAGGCCAGATTTGGCTCATGAAGCCACTTGATTTGGCCCATGGAAGTGGAATTTCAGTAGCCAGATTGGCTGACGCACAGAGGGCAGGACCCAGCCATTGCTGCACATTTCCCCATAGTGACACAGGAAAAGTGTCTGCTGCTGGTGCTCATCCCCACAAGGGCAAAGGGAAGTGACTGCTGGGAATGTGACTTCCTGCTGCAGACACTTTCTGTGTGCAGCTACTGGGAAGAGTGGGGTTGGTGGCAGCTGGATTCTAGCGCCCACCAAACTCATGCCCCATATGCCAGCCTGCCTCTGACCCGAACTGGGTCAGTCTGGCCTGCAGCCTGAAAAGGTGGCCAACCTGTTCTAGGGAGTATTAACTATATGGCATCAGATTCTTAATAACTTGCAGGGAACACAATCTCTGAATCATTCTCAAATGTAGTGTAAATTTAAGTTGTGTTTTTTTTAAGTTTGTGGTAACAAAGATGTTTGGAATTTGACCCTTGATATTATTGAATGGACTTGATTTCCTAAATAGAACCATTAATTTAATTGTTGATGGCATGATGTTCAGTATTATTCATGAAGACTGGGTTGTTGCCTTGAGCAACCAACTATTTTTAAGATCTGTCTTTTCTGAATTTACCATTGTTTATGTCTGCAAGTTGAATTCTGATCTTGTGTGATGAAAAGCTCAACTTTAAATTATACATAACAAGTACTTACTGTGCCATTATCTCTAAGCAAATTGAACAGAATATAAATCTTTTCACTAGTTCTTCAGGCTTTTGTATTTAAATTTTGTTTTAGACTAGCATAAACAAACTATGCCATTGGTTACTTGGAATCTTGTGTCCTGGAAGAAAAGATTTTTGTCAATTTATCTTTTATTGGAACAATTGTATGAGAATAGAATCATGTCACTAATGAGTTGGAATCTTTTACTGTGGTCCAATAAAAGATACATCACCAAAAACCCCTTGCTTCTTTCACTTCTTGGACAATAACAGCTACAGCATCACTCCAACCCTGCTGTGTTACATAGATTGTTTTCAGGTGCTTTCAGTATGCAAATATAAAAGATTTGGTATAGTAGGACCTGGTGAAGAGGAGAACAGTGCTTTATTCTGTCCTCAGCTGCTTAAAAGCAGGAGGAGATGCTAGCAGATTTATAAAGTTCAACTTTTTTGTTGTGGTCCAGATCATCCCTTTTATCAAACTTTGTTTCCTAAGTAGTTTCAATTCTTTAAACTTCAGATCTTTTTGTTACCTTTCATTATAGGAAACAGCACTGACAGGCTCACTGAAATAAATATAAGCCTTAGCTGTTGTTGAGGGCATGCCAGTGTTTCCTTTTCCTGTTTGACTAGGTTTCTTATAATTGAAGTTTTAAGAGTGAAATATTTCAAGTCCCTACTTTGTGATTCCTGTAAGTACTTTGCCACATGCCAAAGAAGGACAAGCTGACGACCAAGGAACTTATAGTTAAAATATTGGTTGCTTTTCTTTATTCATAAGAACAATGGGTGAATGGCTAGAAAATATTTCTACAATGTGATCAATATCCCCCAAGTTATTTTTAAAAAGAAAAAGCTAGGCATCTCAAATATCTATCTTGCTTAAAGCACTTAAACAGTGGCTGAGGTCTCAATCCAGAATTTGACATGACTCTACTGTTTCCCTTCCAATTAAGGTGTACGGTAAAACAATTGATGGACAGCAAACCATTATTGCATGTATAGAGAGCCATCAGTTTCAAGCAAAAAACTTTTGGTAAGTTATTGTAATTAATATTGTATTTGCTACATTTTGTTTTGCTTGAATAATTAACCTATTGCAGTACGCCTACTACTCAATTTGGAGTGGTTCACTTCCTTGGGTGGGAGGAGGGGAAGACGTATCTGTTAAAAGCCTCTGATGGGAGCTATTTAGAAAACTCAATGGAGCAAATCAACAGATGTAGATCTCCACTTGTTTTGCAGAACACTTGATAAATTCTCTCATAGTTCTCCTTTGACTTTTTATTGATTCTTGCATCTCTTCTTCCTTGAGCATTGTTCCAGCCAATATCTTTTATGGTTAAAACCCTGCTACATTGCTTTCTCCATCCTGCCATATGGTAAAGGATAAGCTGAGGACCAAGAATTTCACAGCTATTTGGACATGGAGCGATCTTCTGATTTTCTTTGCTCAGTCAGAAACAGCAGATTTGCACTAGCAGGGGGAATGCCAAGGAGGCAGTCTTACTTTCTTACAGCCAGTTCTAAAATCTGTCCTTTTCCCATGAATGTTAGAGTATTTGTTTCATTGTGTAGGTAGTGGAGATGTGAAACTTGCTGCAGATTGGTCTTTATGATCTTTATACCTTGGAAGCTTGTTTAAACTGTTGACATCAATAGTCAAAGTTCTTCCTGAGGATCTACAAGAGTTTGCTTTCTCAGTATGGAAATGAGTTGTATTTTTCAGCTTAGGTATCCAGCCTCTGCCTTTCTATCAGCTTTTTTTAGCCCTAGTTCATTCTAATCAGTTTCTCCCAGAACAAAGGGAAGAATGCGAATCTGATTCTTTCATAGTCCATCATACTGCTTGGGAAAACAGTTCATTCTCCCAGGACAGTTGTGGTGGGGAGTTAAAAATTGGAAAACTAGTGAGAAGGGAGAAGGACCAGAAGACATATTTAGTCTGAAAGTATTTAACAAGACTTAGTCTACATGTAAATTTCCTTTCGTGGCGCTCAGTAATTGTAATCCAAACATGGCCTTTCTTTCACATAAATAGGTCTTGTTAAATACATACAGAGTAAGTCTTCAATTATCCAGACTTCTAGTCTAGAGGAGGGTGGCAACAGGTCAAACGGTAGTGGGAAAGAAAAATCACCAGGTTTTGAAATCTTCCAGCTCTTGAAGTCTTTGAGGAATTTTATTCCAGAAAAATGAACAGCCTGTTTACTGAATCAGCATGCCTGATAAAAAATGAAATGTCAGTACCTTTCCATTTGTGACTTACCTTGACTAGCTTAGATGTCTGATTTTTATCTTTTGGGTTTTTGCATATCCTAGTTTAGAATTAACTGAAATATTGTTGTTTATATTGGGCTAACATTTTCCTATGGGGCAAATATTCTGCCATATTTTTCAGATATTTTCTGAAGTTTTCAGATATCGATGAATTAAGAGTTTAAAGAACCTTGGCCTAGATTTAAACTACTTTTGTAAGTGCAGTATATTATTTAAAGTGTTAGATGTTTAACACTAAAGCAAATGCTTCTGTAAACCCCCCCCCAAACTATTCTGCCAAGTATTGAGGGATATCCTCATTGCATAAGGCGCTCAGCTTGTCCCTGTATGATACTGTAAGTACATGGCTATCTGTGATTTCATATACATTGCATACAAACGGATTAATATGGCTAATAGCACCTGATGATTCAGATTTCCAATCTGGGGAAAATTCCAGAATGTTTAAAAATAGTGCTTATATTAAGACAAAAACAGGTAATTCAAGTCTCCTGTGGCATTGGGCTTGAGGAAATCAACCTTTTGGTTAGAAATCAAAATATTTCAACTCTTTCAAAATGGAAGCGACAGGACTTTCTGAGTCTATATAGGGTGTGCCTTGCCTGCCTATGAATTATAGATAAGTTTGGGACCTTGAAATTCACAACTCCAGATGGGACTTGCATGGTCCCAGCGTTGTGGCAATCTGCCAGGTGGGTGAGCTGGTAGCAAACCAGGCAAGTTTACCTGTCTGGTTTCACTTGAGGATTCAAAATTGGTACATCAGTTTTCCAGGGAAAAACATTCTGTCAGAAAAAGTATAGTGATTCAGGTATGTAAATAGATAAAAATGCATAAAAATAATTACAAAAAGCAGTTGAAAAACATTTAGCTGGTTTGCAGCCAACTTCCAGAACTTCTTTGCTCAGCTTTGGTGCGTGTTGGTTATGAGTTTTAAAGCCCTTCATACAGAAAGATGCCTAAGGACTTTTTATGCTCTGTTTGAAATAGCTGAATCTTTTGTGAAAATGGAGTCCCTCAAGGAGTGAAACATTTCCCTCATCTAACAACCTGCATGGTATTGTTAATAATATGACTAACAGAAATATTAAAAAATATCTTGTTGACTTGAAAGGAATTTAGGTATACAGAATGAATTGACAAGTTAGAATTTTTTTTATGACACTGAGTCACTAAGTGCTGTAGAGTTCCTTATAGCTGCAAGTTGTGAAGTGCTCAGGTTTTATGGCACTTGTAGCATTACAGTGCCATCTAGCATCCCAGCTGTAGGACCAGTTCGGTATTCTTTGAGATGCCAGAAGGTTAAATCATGTCTGCAGTGCAAAGCAGCTTATGGTAACTTCTTGGTACACCTGCAAAGCTGCACTTTTGAAGTAGAACTTCCAGATGACGCACAGTGCTGTTAGGCATCATCCAAGAGAGGCAGTTACTTACCTGGCCCTACCATGATTGGTTTTTTTAGCGGGGGTTTTGAAAATAGGATGGGCATTATCTTGTTGGGATCTGAAAATGTTTAACTGAGTATGTTTGATTTTTTTTTTTTTTTTTTGTGAAAAAGGCCTTTAGAGTGAAACATGGCTGTTATCTAACAACATGCACAGTACAGGCGACCCTCGCCATTTGCGGGGGATGCGTTCTTGTATCCCCCATGAAAGGTGAAATCCATGGATAAGGCTCTGCGTTCATGAACTCAGTGCCCCTAGTGGCGGTGGGGGCATGACTCTGCTGGCGGTGTTGGGAGCCTGGTGGCGGCAAGCGTAGAGCTCCTGAGGAGCTCCTTTAAGCGTATTTAAGAAGCGGGTTCAGCATTCGCAAATATTTGAAACTGCGAATGCCGAACCTACGACTAGTGAGGGTTTCCTGTATTGTTAACAACGTTTCAGATGTTTAACTGCACATATGAGTTACTGATTGGTAATGTTAAACTACACTTTTCAGTATTCATACCACTGGAAAGGAAATAAACCTTGTGGAAACTAAATTCTTTCTCTCACCAAACTGTTTCCTTCCCTCTGAATGCATACACAGCAAAAATTGAGCTGCAATTTAGATGCCTTCTTAACACATCTCTAATGTAGAATGAGCCAATAATTATTTGAGTACATTAGGACTGTCACTTGCAGGAGAGGAAGCAGGTAGAAATCTGTATCTGTACTTCTCTTTCCAGATTTCTGAAATTTTGGGAAGACCATTGTTCTACTGGAAAGAAATGCCAACAGTTCTAGAGCTTCATATTTCTGCAGAAGGAACCCAAAGTCTTAACAGCAATTCAGTATTACAGAAATTCATCCTATCAGAATTTGTGTTGTGGGTTTTTTATGTAAATGTAAAGGTTCTAAAGTTAGTTGGCCGCAAAAAGTTGACTCCATCGCTGGAAATCATCCTGTCAGCCTTCCTTTGTCCAGAAACTAGCAATATGCAGATAAACATATTCAGTAACTAAAAAAAAATGAGGAAAGTGGATCATTGAAGCTCTTAACCGATTCAGAAGGAAAGAAGGGTCCTATTGTTGGAATGTTTCTGTTAATTAATCATCTTGATCAGTGTCTAAAAGCAAGAATGAGTATTCACAGAAAGTGTCTCATCTCCCTTCACCTGTTTAAGGGTCTTTAGCTATTAGGTTTGCTTTGTTTTGCTTTTTAGTGATACTGTTGGATATTATACTGTCCATTCCATCTCCTTTAGCAATTTCAGGCTGAAACCAAGAATTGTACACAACTAGTGAAGTAAACCAGTGCTTGAAATTTAAATAGCTTATTCACTTTTTTTTTCCTGCCTTATTTACAGCTGCTATTTTTATTTTTAAAGGAATGGCCGTTGGAGGTCAGAATGGAAGTTTACAATCACCCCTTCAACTACTCAGGTGGCTGGCATCTTGAAAATTCAGGTAGGCTTAAACTAAGTTTAACCAGACAATTTCTAAATGCTTTTTACTAGGGGAATCTCAGGGCATCGTAGTAAGATTGTTATAAGATCTCTGGTTCAGGAAGCAAAAATGGAGTATATAAGCACGCTTCATTACAATTATCCATACAGTAATTTATGGTCTGGAAAGGGACCTCAAGAGGCCATCTAGTTTATCCTATTTCACTGAGGAAAGATAAGTATACTTCCTAAACCATCCTTAACAGATCTTTGCAGCCTATTCTTAAAAACCTCTAATTTCAACACCTTTTCAGGCACCCTATTTTTGTTTTGCTTGCCTTAAAAGATCTTCCTAATATCTAACCTCATCTCCCTTGCTGTAAGTAAACAGATTAGTACCTGCCTTGCTGCCACATGGCTTACAGAGCATTTGAGCACTGTGTCCTTTCGTTTTTGTTTTTTTAACAACTTTTTGCTAAACTTTGATCTGAGCGGTAAGCTACCTTGCTTTTAACCAAGGGTAAGAGCCTGCATATGAGCAGTAGCTGACATGCCATAAGGGTTACACCTTCAGTTATCTAATGATACTTGTTCTTAAACTCATATCCTGAGAGTGGTAGAAAAGATGTTACGGTATGGGAACAGAACCTCATGAGATTTTCACCTCAGTCTGCTCTGTCTCTTAGCCAAGGTTTGTGTAAAAGGAATTTCCTTGGTTTGTATAAATGTTTATTTTTGATGTTTGGGAGCTATCTCTATCTAATGAGGAGATATCAAATCATGGACTGACTTAGAAGGATCAGACCTGTCTGTCCTTGATGGGAGATGTCACGTTGCCTCTGGCAGACAAGTTCTAGGTGAGGTGTGTGGACAGCACTGCTACTTTAGCCTAAAGCTCAGCAAGAATTCCTCAGAAACAGATCACATGTTCTGCTGTAGCCTATTGCTGGGGTAAAATGAACACTCAGTTGTGGAGAAACTTAAGATTCTAAGAAAGCTCTTTGGGGTTCCCCTACATGTTGCCTGTAATTGTGCATTTCCACTGCAGCTAGCGAACTACTGGTGACTCAGTTCCCCAAAGTGTGTTAAAAGCTGATTAATACTGACATTTTGTTACAATGTTTCTGTCTCTTCTAACTATTCTGTAATATTTAATGTGGTGTTGGCTTCACTTTTTCATAGGTTCATTATTATGAAGATGGTAACGTCCAGTTAGTGAGCCATAAAGATGTACAGGATTCTCTAACAGTTTCTGTAAGTTGTCTTTTCATGATGTTTTGCCATCTGTTGAGTGGCACAATCTCATTTGGTTTTGTTAAAATTGTGGATCCAAGATTTTTATGAATAACTAACACTATGTAAGTAAATGGAGGGGTAAGTGTCTATGTTCATTCCTGTTTTCTAAAATAACCATCATTTTACATTTCCTGTTTGCATGCGACTTAAGAGAAACAATGTAGAATAATTTTGTTTACTAGGTATTAGTTATCTCACCTTCCCATTATTATCTGTACTTCTGTTGTTCACTTACAAATGCTAATTTTAAACTTGATGGTTCTGGGATTAAATTTTGAATGTGCAATGGATTTATTTGAACATTCTCTTCTTCTCCCCACCATTATTAAGTGTTTGGTAGCATTTGCTCAAAAAGAGTAAGGCACTAAAGATAGCAATTTGCAAAGGAGAGAACCATAGCTAATACTATTTTAAGGAGCTGGCACAATCTGTCTGTAACTAATGCTGTCAGAATCTTGCTTTTATGAACAGTAAATTATTTTGGTTTGTTAAACTTCAGTTTGAGAGATTCTATGCTGGAATTTAGGCTCTTTCGTCTTAGCTTTCTCTGTTTCAAATAAAGATTATAATGGTGCCTAAGGACATGCTAAAAATAACCCATTGTTTGAAAACAGCAACGGTTGCATCCTCAAGGAACTGGTACTTTCTGAGTGCAGCGTAAACTACTAATTATTGCTTTTAAGTAATCATGAATTCTGGAAGGCATAAGGAAGTGCATAAACATTTATATTTCCTGCTGGAGTGTTCCTCAATAAAAAACCTCAAGCCAATTGCATTAAATAGTCGAAAGAGAATGAAAAAGTAAAATATATGCTGATGACCAGGGGTACAGGTTTTCTGTTCACCGCAGAAAAACACGGTAAAACTTGTATTTTCTTATTTTAAGGAGAAAAGCATGGGAAATGGTGGGTTTCCTCTTGCAGGCTGGCAGAGTTCCAGCCAGGCAGCCTGGAGAGCAGCTGTCCACAGAAGTGGCTGGGTGGGAATTGAGGCTCCCGTAGTGAGGTGGGAAGGGAGTTGGGCAGGGCTGGGGCTGCTGCCCAGCCCAGGTGGTGTGTGGGGCTTGGAGCCCGGAGCCAGAATGCATGGCCAAAGGGCCTGGGTAGGGAGTAGGATGGGGCTGTAGGCAGCTCATCTGGGGGATGGTGCTGGCTCCCTGTCACTACATGCCATGCATTCTCGGAGGGAATGGTGGGCACGTGCCCCCCAGGATTGTATACTGGGTTGGGCGAATGCAGGCTCAGGCACCCCGTCCTGCTGCTCTCCCCACAGGGCCTCTGTAACCCAATGGGCAGGACCTGGTGTGACAGGGCAGAGTGGGGTGGGGAAGCTCAGTGCCGCCACCACGAGCCCCATGCTGCCATGGCAAGGCTCCCTCTGCTGCTGCTGGGTGGGCAGAGGGCGCCTCGTCAGGGCAGAGCAGGGTTTGCGGCAGTGAGCTTGCCTGCCAGGCCTCACTCTGCCCTGCTGCTCCACGTTCTTCCTGCTGGGCCGCAGAGGCCTCAGGGGGAAGGGCAGGCAGGGTGGGGAGTCCTAAGCCTGCAGCAGGCAGCCCGCATGTTCCCCACTCTCCCACAGGGTCCACTCCAGCTGAGCTTCACGTTCCACTTCACCACAGAAGCCACTGCCTCTCACAGACAGCGACCGTGGGTTTGGATGCTGTTGTGGGGGCAGAGGACTGCTGACCTGGTTCCCTGGCCCCATAGCCCTTGGGGAGGAGGTGCTGTGGTTGGGGAGTAAAGGGCACCAGCAGGGCCAGGTGGCTGGGGGTGGGGAGTGAGGGGCAATGTCATAGGCAGGGTATCAGCATTTCCAGATTGTTCAGCGCCACAAAGCAGTTGGGTGAGGACAGCCACAGTTGGATCTACATCCTGGTGAGTGAAAGGGGAGCTCTGATTTTCCATGGTAGAAAAACCCAAAATCAAATGCCAAAATTTATAACTGTTTATAATGTAGTTTATTATAGTGATTGAGGCACTGGTAGGCTTCCAAATTGCTTATATACATATATGTATGTGTGTGTAACTGGTGTTTCATTTAAATTGCAGATACAGCAGATTTGGGGGGGTTTAATCAGAGATATCAGGATTTTTTTATTGGGGAATGTTGGATTTTTTTAACAGAGAAAACCGGGGTCCCTGATTATAACAAAAATGCTCCCAAATGTGTTTTTGTTCTGCATCTCTCCTACTTTTTATACTCTTGTTAATTTGACAAGATTATATGCTATATTCTTTATCAAAATAACTGCAGAAGCTCAAAGGGATCTTTGGACTGTATTGGTTTTGGCTAAAATCAACTGGAGCCAATGAGGCTAATCTGAGTTGCATTTATTGCTAATTGAAAATATCCCTGGTTGGTATAAATGAGTCTATATTCACTAGCCAAAAATAACTGAACAGGGATACTGTTGCATAGTTTTTTATTAGTTTTCTTCTTTCCAGGAATGATCTGTTTATAATAATGGATTGACTAGAGGCCAGAGCAACACTACTGTTTTTTCATAATTCAGGCATGAAGAACTTAGTACCAAAGAAACCAGTACTGATCCTTAAGGGAATTTTCATCAGATCTCAAAATATCATTCACCATATGAGAATGGAATTTATGGTCTGACTAATGAAGACTACTTTAAGTATCTCATAATTGTGGAAGAAGTAGAACTTGAAAGCTGTTTGGAATTGACATGTTTAGTTTGACATCTTTTTGAAACTTTCTTTTTTTCCCCCTGCCTAGAGCGAAGCCCAAACAGCAAAGGAATTCATAAAAATTGTAGAGGCTGCAGAAAATGAGTATCAGGTATGATGTCTTAAACAAGTATAATATGTAAAAACAAGACATTTAATACTATAGATTTATTCCAGAGTGGTTCCAAGCTCAACATGCTACTAAAATAGGAAAATTAGGTATTGTAAGTAAACTTAGTCACTATAGCAATAGTCCTGAAATTAAGTTAACATTTCTGGTCATCTTTTACCAGTCCTTCTGAGAGTTGCACCCATTTGTTGCATTTTATCCTGAAATACATTCTAAGTTTGATTGAGAACAGACTCTTTGCACGGTGCTTAGAATATTAGGACCTTAGTTCTCATTAGAGTCTTTAGGTGCTCATGAAGTATTGTACAACTTCAATTGTGAGAAGCCAATCCAGAGTTAAACAGGTTTGATAATTATGGCTAAAATCAGTTATACAGCTGAATGCACTTCATGGATTTTTTTCAAAGTGTAGCTATCTAGAAGATGTGGCAATTAAGAAGACATGCACACTTAGACTGTTGACATGACAGTGTAAGTTCTGGGCACAAAATGTCACATTTACATTCATTTTCTAAAAGCACTGTACATTTTAAACTGTTATTTGACTAAAAGGGCCACGTGCACAGTTTGCTCATACTGTTTGCACTTATCACACAGGAAAAGAAATGAAAGCTTATGGCCTAAAGAAAAGCCCCACCGTTAGCTAAAAAACTTCCTGCACCAAAACAATTTTAGAACCCATCTGACCACTAACTTACAGCAGTTAACTCTGATTTAAATTTTTAAACTGCATATTTTCATAAGATTTCACAGAGGAAGAGGTAACAAATTGTGTGTTACCTTGATTTTTATTTTGACTGCCATTTCAATTCTCTTCTGTTCTTCTTTAATACTTGTGTTTAAACAGACTGCCATCAGCGAGAATTATCAGACAATGTCGGACACTACCTTCAAAGCCTTACGTCGACAGTTGCCAGTTACCCGCACTAAGATTGACTGGAACAAGATCCTTAGCTACAAGATTGGAAAAGAGATGCAGAATGCTTAAGACGAACATTGCATGACTGGATCATTTTAGTGTCCTTGTATAGAAATAAAACTTATTACAAAAAGTATTTGGAACGGTCAAGTCACCCAGTCAGCATGGGCTTTTGCCATTGAAAAATCACTGTAAGTAGTTTGGTTAGAGCACAAAGCTTAGCTAATTGACCATTTTTTTTCTTTCTGTTTTTTCCTTTTCTCAGAGCATTGCAAAATCAGTGTAGCTCAAATTCTTTTCAAGTTTCTGTTGTACCTTGACATTTTTATAATGAAAACCATGCCTTTAGTTTTCAATTGAAAATTAAGAACAGTTCAAAAAACTATTTTTGCATACAATAACCCTTTATCTCTTGCTTTCATAAGAAGTGGGCGACTTTTGAAATTTGCTGGATTCCTCAAAGAAATTGTTAATGTACATTTCTAGTTCAAGGCTCATCATGAATTTTGCCATAGGTGCTGCTGTAGAAACCATCTATCCCTTCATTGTATGTAAGATTGGGAAAGCATTTTCTATATTATGTTTAAATCTTCCAAAATACTTATTTAGCTAGCTCAGTGTTAACTAAACTTTTTTTAAATAAGGCCAAGGTCTAATGCTGTTTTAAGATTATCAAATTAAATAAAAATACTTATTTCAGAAATGCATTTAATGCTTTGTTCCTGACAGTTACTTAAATGAACTCAAATTCCATCTGCCCTTGAGTTTATTTTTTATCATACAGCCACAAATGTATTATAACAAGGCATACTGTAATATATATAATCCTGTACTCATTACCATGTCTTTCAGTTTATTTTTCTTGGATTGAAATGTACTAAAATTCAATGTGACATTAAAATGCAAATTTTCTATTTATTTGAGCAGCAAATTGCTTAATGATATATCATATTATGTGGTATTTATAAAAGATGAAACCTGCTTGAAGCAGATATTTTTCCCGTCTGAAATTTGTGGAGTTTTATGGCTGTATTAGAAAACCTGGGTGTACGTGCGGCTTGCTGTAACATTATACGTTTTGTCTTCATAAATGTAAGGAGCGTGTTCATAATATGCCATTGACAGCTGTTCATGTTGACTGTAGGGAACTGAAGAAACTTACAACAATAGTGAAGACAAAGAATTCTGATAGAATGGGGGAGAATATTTTCTTTATCTGTTGCAGTTGGGAGTGAGAAACGGTTTTAGGGTTAAACAAAGACCTTCCAGTTTCAGTGTACACAGAAAAACTTTTTAGTGGTTTGAAAGGTAAACAGTTGCCTTTAAAACTATGTATGAAAGTATAATCTTACCACTTGCTGAAACGTGCTTATGTTCCTAATTTAACACTATAAGAATTTTTTTTAATTAATTGAATGCATTTTTATAGGTGTTAAACTTAACTGGGATTATGGGAGTTCCTGTAGAACAAAGGCATTATATGAATTCTTATTTGTTTGTTTTTTTAAGGATTCTAATCATTTACTTTAAGTCTAGGTCATGGCATAGGATGAAGGTGAACATAGATTTGTGCAAAGTTTTATTATTATAAAAAATGCACGAGTGTTCTACTTTAATCTTCAACTTTCAACTGTATTTTTTCAGAATAATAAAAACACTGAAATAGAAATCTCTTGTGTGTTTCGAAATAAACACAAATATAATTGTGCAAATTTTTTTTTTATTTTTTTTTTGCAATGAACTATAGCTTAAAGTGTTTGATTTGGGTCATCAAGTGAACAAGTGAGAATTCATAATAGCGATACAGTTATTTTGTATGGTGTTTAAGATGATATCCTTTGTTTCAGTCTCTTTTTGCATGAAAGGGTCTAAGTCAGGGGTGTCCAACCTTTTTGAATGTGGGGCCAGATTACAAACTTTTTATCACCCAGTGGGCCAGCGAGCCATATTCAAAGACCTCACAGGAAGTGGTATCACATCAGGAAGTGATGTCACATCACCTTTGACACCAGTGAAGTTGCAGGAAGTGACAATGAAATGGATCTAACCAGTTCAAAACTCTCCCTCTATAGCATCCACCTCTGCCACTGTTTGGGACAGGATACTGAGCTAGATGGACCATGGGGCTGACCAAGCATGACACTTTTTATGCTCTTATGTTCAGAGGCTCTTATGTTCTTTGGCTGAGCTTCCAAACTATGGCTGAGATTTGCAAAAAGGGGTAGATAGGAATGTTACAAAGTTGTCAAAGGATTTGGAGCCCTCTAAATCTCATTCATTTTAATGGAAGTTGGCCTTTTGACTCAGCTTTGAAAATCTCAGCCCAAGGTGCCAACCAAATAAGTCTAAATATATTTTGCATTTCTATGCAGTACATTTTATGTGGGGCTCTCCAAGCATTTTACAAACATGAAATGAACTTCAGGATGAGCCCAGCTGGAGCAGCAGGGGATCAGCTGCACTTCCTGAGTGGCACATGGCTCTGCTGGTGCCAGTTCGAGTGAATCTGTCCCATCCGGAGCAGCATGCAGATGAAGCTGGCTTCCCACATGCTACTGGGGACGGGAGGAGCCCAGCTGGGTCAGCACCGGCCGGCAGAAGAGGTGGCGGAGCCATGTACGCTTGGGACTGACTGGTTGGAGCAGCAGGGGATCAGCTGCACTTCCTGAGTGGCACATGGCTCTGCTGGTGCCAGTTCGAGTGAATCTGTCCCATCCGGAGCAGCATGCAGATGAAGCTGGCTTCCCACATGCTACTGGGGACGGGAGGAGCCCAGCTGGGTCAGCACCGGCCGGCAGAAGAGGTGGCGGAGCCATGTACGCTTGGGACTGACTGGTGCAGGCAGGGGGA